GATTAAAACGATAGCATTTGTATATGCTATGAATCAAAATCAATTAAGTATGATTGGCGGAGACATTGTGTCTCCAGAAATTCAAAAAAACTTATTTACACATCACGTGGCAGTGAGGAGCTATACATTGAAGTGGTGGTGCGGAGGCATCATTTTTAGTCCGCTAAAAATTGTGACCGCTGCTCATTGTGTGCGCACATTTAATTCTTCAGCAGATGATTTATACATAAGAGCCGGGTCCCTAAATACAACATTTGGCGGTGTGGTCAAAAATATCTCGCACTTTGATGTTCATGAGAGTTTTTAGTAAATTGGAGCTTTTCAAAACAATGACATTGTCGTGATGCGTTTGACTGATCCCTTGGAATTTTCACCTACAATTGGTTCAATAAGATTTGCTACATTTACACAAAATATGGAACTCTAATAACTGCTTGTGGATATGGAAGTTCTGAAACAAGCAACTCAGACTCTCTTCTACGGTACATGCAGTTGCCGATATTCGATTTTGATACATGCAAAAAGAGGTATGCAATTATCGGATATTCACTTTAAAATTAATTTCTCCATTATTCAAAAAAATTTTTGATTATTATCCCAAAAAATACTTCGGGCGCCCCATACAGTTATTTGTATGGTGCGACTTTTCATCATAAATACAAAGTCATGATGAGTTTGGTGATATGCTTGTGTGCAGACATCATATTATATTATGAATATGTACACTGAAAATATTGCAATTATTTTACGACTATCCACTAATTATTTTTCGATTATTTCCTCTTTCCTTTTTTTGATTCTTATCTAGGTATGCAGCCGTCGATGATGAACTAAGTGACAACCATTTTTGCGTTGGGAATATATTCATGAAATTTTTCTACACAGGTGACTCTGGAGGTAAAGTAGAAGATAAACATAAGATGAATAAATAAAACTATTCATTTTTAGTACACATTTTGAATCATAAAGATGTATTTTGAAAAAAAAATTTAGTGCAGTAAAAACGTTTTTTTTGTTCAATTTAGGATGCATAATGTATCAGAATGAAACTACAAATGATAGAGTTTGTATAGGAATGATTTCTTTTGCTTATGATGATATCGTAGAAGCCTGGCCCCAAGTACAAGTAAAATTGTCAAATTATTTAGACTGGATTGACAAACACGGAGTAAGTATTGTAAAATAATTTATTTAATCCAATTCCTGCATCAACAGTGACAAATGCAATTGCAAAACTGCCAAGAAATTGAAAATAATTTTTCCAACTCCTTACCATTGAAGATTGAAGCCAATGCCCATAATGTTAACGTAAAATGTAGATTGTAAATTTTATGAAATGAAAAAAAAAAATTAATTGGATTGTAATGAATGAGTTTTCCGAATTGTCAAATTTTAGTTTCCTTAGTTCTAAGTGCATCAGAAAAAAAAAAATAAATATGATTTAAACGTAAACGTTTATTACATTCACATATGAACAAGTGGATTTGGCTGTTATTGCAAAACTGATTGTTTTGCTTTTTTTTCATTCGCATACATATACTATAGCATACTGAGTAGACGGTATGTATGCATACGTATATGCAAAGAAAAATTGTTTTTTCTTCTGATTAAAAAAAATACACACTGCGATTTTGAGACGCTGAAAAAACACTTGCGCGCGTTTTTTTTTTGATTTAATGTTCACATTTTAAAAGCTTAGTAGTTTTTTTTTACTTCGAATGCATAAAAACAAAAATCGAAATGAACATACGAAAATACAACGGTACACTCAAAACGAATCCAACAACAAAATACATGGTAAGCAGGTCCGTTACCATATGAATTTACATGTTCGAAACGAACATATGAAAATATGATAACAGAAACGCAAATATACCAACTTTTTTCATAAATTTAGTAAAGGTAGAGCATTGGTTTTTGGAATACAGTAGTTTCGAGTTCGAATCTCATTATCATATGATTTTTTATCTTTTCATTTTAATATTTTGAATTCTATTTCTATTGCTCATATGAGAGAGAGAGAGAGAGAGAGAGAGAGAGAGAGAGAGAGAGAGAGAGAGAGAGAGAGAGA